CCCGCTTTAAAAAGTAATTTGAGGTAATACTTTTCTGCCCTTGATTTTCAAATAACAGAGAGGGAATTTAAGAGTTTTATCATTACTTGATATATGTCGAAAAATTTAATTAAAGATTTAACTCCACAACTTTTCCATTTTATAATATTAAACGTTTAATATTAAACACCTTTAAATTGAAACGTTACTTAACATTCTTGAAATCAGGTAATATTTATAATTATTTTGTATTGTATGCTATTTAGAAATTTTATTTCTAAAACTCTCCTTTATCAGATATATTTCTCTGACTAACAAAAGTTATTTATGCCATCTCACAACTCCGCAATTCTATTTTAGTGTCTGTTGTATTTAGACATGCGCAATTTACACGCGTGTATCACCGGCGTGTGTGTGTGTGTGCAAATAATAATTCCATAATTGGTGAGAATTAGAAAAAAAATTGTGATCGTCGGGCTACGTAATGAAGAGAAATCCAGAAGAATAAGACGCCGATTGCATCATATGCGTCTATATAAACGGAAAGTGGAGAGAAATATTGTCGGAACGGAAATAATCGCGGGTTTTCCTAATTGTGTTTATCAGCGTCCGTTCCTCCTCGTCGAAATCTCGATATCGCGAACGTGTCGCTTATATCGTATTATTTAATCCCGCGGACGCGTTGCATTGGGAAAAGCGAGATTATGCATGCCGACATGCCAAGTGTTACGAGGACAAATTTCTACACCTCGCGGAGAGCGTTTCCGCGCTCGCTTCGCGAGAATATCGGGTGGCGCGAAAGTCCATTCCGCGAAATTTCACATTCTTCTGACGAACGTGCCTTTGTCTTTACGCGAGGATCGATTGTTTCAGCTCGGCGGCTCGCTTTCTCGGAAGAATAATTTTTACTCCCGACTCTAATCGCCTTTAATCATCTTTCCTCGCAGGAATTGTTCGTGGAATTCCTCCGGATGGAAAAGTCGGACTCAATAAACTCAGAAACGTATCTCTATTTTTTAAAAATAATATAATTCTACTTCTGAGAACGCACAGTCGCTTTTATAAACTCGCTCTACGTAGATCGTAGACATATTTATAAGCTACGAAATATGAATATGCAGCAACGTTATAATTGGACGCGGAAATAATTACATTCGCCAAATTCAAAAGGATAAATTATGTATTACGCGCCGTGATTTTGCATTTTAAATTCAAACCGGCTAAAAAGGGACCGCTGCTCGCGGTTAACTTTTAAACATAATTCAGTAGACACAAGATAAGCGCGCGTCTTTTGTGGCCAGGCGTTTTCATCGGCGGGATTAAAGTGCCATGGCGTAGTTTAAAATTGCGTTCGCCGCCGTGGAATTACGCGAGATCTAATTACGCGCTCAGCTGGACGAGGCGCGTCCCATGCTCGTAGAACGAATTAAGTGTCACCGAGACGAACGTTACGAGCGGCACCGCGAATGCGTGTCCCGTCGCAACTCGCGCGATTACTTTTCGGACGCGTCAAATTAGGTGGAGTTAGTTCCTGTGTCGCATCATCGTTCGCTGCTTCCGGTAAACCGTAAAGTGGCGCTCCGACGACTTCGTACTCGAGAGACTCGTAAACGAGATACGTGCGCCTGTAGAATTTTCGCGAATTAAACGATCTCGAGTCATCGGCGCAAATAGAAACTGAAACGTTTATTAATAGGTTGCTGGAGTAATTCTGCACCTTTTGCACGGTTTCCATCTAGAATTGTCAATTCATCAAAACATTTGTGTAATACACAAATTGTAAGGCTTACGCGTACAAATCGAAAGTGTTCCACTATTCGGACTGAATAGTGCGACACTGCCGATCTGTGCACAAAAACCACATCATTTGTATATTACACAAATGTTTTCATGAATTGATAATTCTAGGAGTAAAAGGTGCAAAAAGTGTGGAATCACTCCAGGGTTTGGGCAAATAAAAAAAAATAACTTCAGCATTTTCTTAACCACATCTGGCATTTTTAATACAGAAAATTTATTGCCAAAAATAATATAAATAACAAATATTAATTTAATAAAATTTAGCAAAACTCCAAGTACAGAGCTAACACCTCGCGAAATTGAAATAAATTGACGTGATATTAAATAGAGACATAATTACATTAACCACGCGTTATCGTGCCGACTGCCTTATCTAGACGCACGTGTGCACGCGTACCGCCTCGGACTGAATTCACAGGGGTCACGGGCGCTTATCTAAATTTATTCGCGTTGCTTCTGTTCACTGGCATTTCTCTTGAAACGCGGATACGTGGTCCACTGCGGCTATCAGCGATAACCGCGCGCGATAAGTGATTAGATGCGATATGGCATGACGGCATGCGTGACGATAAAAAAAACTGGGCAGTTGAGGGACACAGGGGCATTCTCTTGAATTATTGAGCAGGGACGAATTGACGTTTTACGTGCATTAATTTTTTTAACGTTGTACGAAACTCGGAATTGTCTTCGTTATCTCGGTCGCGTCGCGTAAATTGCAGTCCGATGCGACAATTGAATGCCGCGCTTTTGGGAGGCAAAGAGTGTAATATGGCCCTCGTATTCGCGGTGTTATTTTCTTCCAATGTAACTCCAGCTGATACATGACATACGCCGAGGTTGTCGTGTCGCGTTACAAGCTAATCCATCGATTTTCGCAAAATACCCCGCCCGCGTATGCATTATAGATGCGGCCGCTTGTTGCATCGCGGGACGAAGCTCGCCTCCATTCACGCATTGCAAAGTATTTCTGTTATTGATTCGCCAACTGTGGAACAACGCGATGCCTTGCGTTTCGGGGGCAGCGATGATATCGCGTGATTTCACTGCAGACGTTTCCGATGAAAAAAAACACGAGGAAAGAATTCGTGTAAAAAGTTTCTGGTTTCAATGGCGAAAAACGTGCTACGTTGACGATAATACATCAGATCTGCTGTAAGTGCTACAAGAGCACTAAACAGTGGTCAATTGTTAAACAATCTGCTGGATAAGTGAGCGAAGGTGCAATAATGGACGTATGCGCCTTTCAACACGCACGATTGACAGTTTTCAACTGCACTCGCGAAACGTATTTTTCTGCCTTTCCGACTTCGCATTTATAAAGCGACTTCTCACTTGTGACAAATTGCCTTTGTGTCTAAATATCAGCTGCCATCTGCAAAAGGTAAAATTACGTGCACGCGCGAAACAATGTTGTTATGAGCGAAAAAGGAGGCGGGAATTTATGGAAATTACGCCTTGGCATCCGGGTGTTGAGTAACGTTCGATAAGAAAGAATTATGTGTTAGTATAGTGCAAACGTGAGATGGCAAGCGCGTCTTCGCGCGTCCTTTGAGGGATTCCTCACCCGAGAGAATTTAACGAATGGGGAAATGGGACGTATATTCATATGAACATTTTTGCTTAAAATGACCGATACTATCACCTGCCAGAATATCGGCCTTTCATGCTGAAACACCCTGTACAGAAGTCTGTGGTGACGAAAAAGAGGAGCCGACGGTGCGCCTCCTCCGAGCAAGAGTGGCAGGCGGTCGCGCATCGCGAAATCAAGGCGGGGGGGAAAGGGGGGACCCCGAGATAACCCTGCGAGTTGTCACTCACGAATTCGCCGTACCGTTATCCCCGGCGACGAAAGCCGGCGCGGAGCTGTGTCGCGTGCGCGGAGATTCCTCTCCTCCTTTCGCTCGCCGGCAACGAAAAGCCTACGATAAGCCTATCGCTACGGTAGCGATCTTGGCGGCCGGGGAGCGACAGGGAGGATACATCGACCGTGCGTAATTCTTTTTTTAATACGCGATCCGAACAATGTGTTCCGGCGACAAAGTAATTACGGCGTCGCGTGACGCTCGTAATTTCAGCGGGGGGGGGGGGGGGAAACAGCGGCTTATTAAATCGAAGGGCTCGGGGCAACGGCGTGATAAGCGGCCGCGTTACGTGCGGCGGAGGAAGAGCAGGCGCAACGCTCGTTTATAATAGAATACGTAATCTCGCAACGCGGCGGAACTCTCGGAGTTCCTTCCCTCGTTTTTTCCCAGCGATGCGAGATTCACATTGAAACTCGCGGTCGATCGTTTCGCGCTGCGAGTTCGATTTAAGGAATTCCGCGACTGGAGGGAAGGAGAGGCGATTCCGTAACAACGGCGGTTCTCCCCAATTTCAACGTCGTCTACAGTTAATTGACCTTTTTCCTCTTAATTACGTTGCTTGTCCCGATTCGCTTGCAATCATTCCGCGAATACCGGCCTCGTCCTCGCGTACGATCGCTACGTACGGCCGTGAGCGCGCGCGAGCGAGCGAGCGAAGGAGCCGCGACCTTATTCCATGAAGCGCGCGCGTTCCCGATCCCGTTGCATCGGCATCGGCCGCGCGCCGCGGATCAAGACGAAGGGTCGCGGCGCGTGTGGCGTCTGAGGGTCTGTCGAGAACAGACGTCCCAAGGGAATCCAAACACGCCGGGGTTCCCTCGGCGCAGACGACCGAGTTTTTCTCTTCTTTTCTCTCACTTTCTAACTCCGCTCTTTTACCCGTCTACTAGGACGGAATAGGTAGCTGCCTAATAGAATGGAAAAGGTAGCTTTAACATCTGTGATAATCCTTTGTCACCCGACCCCCCGCCTCGCCTGTCACGAGGGTAAGTTGGGTCGTCACGTGTTTGATTTCGGACGACAGTTTTGAAATTGAAAAAGAGGGGAGAGACGTTCGAAACGGCGGCTCGCTCTCTTTCTCCCGCTCGCGCCATTTCTTTCGCTCCCGCGAGCGCGGCCGCGCGCCGCTCACGTCGTCTCGCTCTCGCGCCTTCCCCGCTCGTTCCGAAAAGAATCCTCCGTGATACGCAACAGGTTATCGAAAGGCGCCCGTGCGCGCGCTCGCCGCGCCGCGCGTATGCACGCACAAATATGTAAATGACATTTGTATACACGAAAGGCGCCCGCGCACGTAGACGCACGAGGCGCAGGTACGCGCGCACACACGCACGCACGCACGCACGCACACACGGCACTCACCGTGCTCGGCGGCCGCCAAGGATCCGGCCAGGAGAGCGCACAGGACAACAAGTAGCAGCGGGATCCACGTCGGCCTTCCACGTCCGTTCGCACCGTCAAAGTAGCACCATCGTTTCTCCTCACGCGCCATACTTGCGTCAACGTTGACACGACGACCAAAGGGTCTCTCTTATTCCGTCCTGCCTTCGCTTCGCGCGAAAACTTCAAAACTCAACGCGCGCGAGGCGTCGCGGGAGTCCCCTCGGCAGGGCACGCTCGCCGACGCGACGAGGCGAACGCGAAGCGGAGCGCGACGGAAAAGCGAGCGAGCGAGCGCGCACTTGCGGCGGTGGCGGCGGCGGCGGCGGCGGAAGAACGTGGAAGAATGGAACAAGGCACAAAGGCGCGGGTGGCGAAGGGAGAGCCGGACGAAGAGGAAGGACAGGGAGCCGAAGGGTGACTCGACGCGAAAGAGAGACGGTGTAGAAAGCAGAAGGGCCGAGGGAAAGATGGGAAAGGCGAGCGCGCCGCCGCGTTAACGAGCGAGCGGTTCTCGCAGCAGGAGGGCGATTTCGCAGCGGAGCGCGCGAGCTCCCCTCGAATTGCTCCGCGAGTAGCTTTTGCGGAAGCTGTCGGCGCGTCGTCGGCAGAGAATCGGGGTGAGAGCCGCGAGCGAACGAGCGATTAACTGCGGGTCGCGCGGCACACTGACGCGAACGGAGCGGAGGGACGAATCGAGCGAATCTACTGGTTCGCGCGAAGCTAGTCCTGAAGCGCGACTCGCTCCTCAAACCGGTACCGTCGGACGGCGGACGACGACGGCGGCGGCGGCGGCGGCGGCGGCGGCGGCAGCGGCGGCGGCGGCGGCGGCGACAGCACTAGCTTGCGACGCGAACGGCATGCTCGCTCTCACTAGTCGTTCGCCACGATCGCCAATCTCTCTCGCCCACTCCGAAGCGGCCTCGAAAGTATCTAGATGATTATCTTAGATTATCTTAGATGAGCGCGCTTTGTGCGCCGAATCGTGCGCGCGGGATTTGCGAGGTGCCCTCGACTCGCGCCGTCGAACGACGATCTTCGCGCGGGGACTCGTCCTCGGGATTCGAAAAGTGAGAGGATTGAAAACACTTGAAAACTGATTCGCAAAATGGCACAAGGCACCTAATCGTGTAAGTAAAAATCAAAACGCGATTGATCAGTAACGGGTCAAATGTTAACGAGGATACAATTTCACTTTGCTCTCCCAAGCTTGGAGTATCACGATACACGGAAGTGTCTCGCGCCAAGTATAAGCGTAGCTAGAACCGCGCGCGCGCGAGACTATTCATAAACGCGCGTGGACGTTACTTGGGTCAGTTATGAAATAAAGAGTGGCGTTTCCCGTACGCTGCTCTCTTCTGGTCGGTAAGAAAGACAACTATCGTATCGTGGCAAGGTAAATGCCAGCTCGTCGCAAGAAGATAATTTATTGCAATTGATTATTTCATTTCATACATTATTAAAATATTATTTCATGCGAGCAACACGCTGGCTATCGATTGAGACTTTCGATCGCGTATTCGTCAGCGAACTGAGGTTCGTAAAACAGGGAACTCACGGAAGTGACTTCGAGCGAAGGGCAGATTTCTTCGCGAGGCGAATCGAAGGGTAACATCGGAGATATCTTCGTGAAATCTTTTCGAGGATCTTCTAGATGCGAAGTGTTGATTAATTGACGTTGCCCGAGGATCACCTGAAAAAGATCATCTTACGAAAATCGAGAATCTCGAAAACCGGCAAAGTATCAGGAGAACGTGACCAGCAAAGAGGCACTATTTAAGTTTCCACGAATTAAAATTCCAAGAATTTTAAACTTCAAATCGCGAAAATCGAGATTCTGGAAAATTGACCAAGTATCAGGAGAACATGGCCAGCAAAGAGGTGGCACTATCTAAATTTCCAAGAACTAGAATTCCGAGACTTTCGACCTACAAATCGCGAAACTTGAGAATCTCGTATTCTGGTGCATCAATTGGTATTACATCAGTACTACTGGTTCCCTTGCAGAACATTGCTATTAAATTGTTCATTTTACCGTGACATTCGTCGTATCGGAAAACGTTCGATGACATCGCTTGGCATCGGCGTCGCGTGGGAACGAGAGGGCCGCGCGCACTTGTTGCCTCTGCCGATCTTTCTTCTGCAGCATGTGCGATCTGTCGGTTGTGCGACGGATGCGGTCTATGTCGTCCAACGCCTCTAGGCTCGGTGCCAGTTTGGAGTCGCGTATCCTCGCGAGCTCGTCCCTCTCCAAGATCTCGTCCGCGCGCTTGGCCGTTGCAATCAGCTTCCTCTGGCGGTCCTCAATCAGGATACCCCATGAACGGTGCCAATGTACCATGTGGGCGATCAGATGCGCGTCCACGCTCAATGGTGTGACGCCGGTCTGCTCCAGGTATCTGCTGAGCTCCGTCCACATCTGGCCGAGCTTCAGCCGGAGATACATGTCGACGCAGCACAGCGTTATCTGAAGAAAAGCTCGGAAACTGATCTTTTTAACATTACGTAAAAAGTATATACTCTACCAACTCGAACAAAAGTCTCGGGTTTTGAACACGTTCAATATTAGAAATTCTGTTTTATTATTAATGGCGCTTGATAAAAAATAATAGATCTTACGTGATCTTTCGTTGGCAGTTCGTCGAGTAGAATTTTGTAATGTTCCCTAGCGGTTTCGTACTTGTCGCCGTCTCTCTCGATGATCTTGAAAATACTGAAGATCTTCGATCGCACCGAGCCGACCATCTCGATTATAGTGGGACTAACGTCTGCCGTAAGCTGCGTACGATAGGTGTCTGTCCACTGCTTAGTGCCCATCTGAGGAAATTCGGGATCTGAAATTGTAAACGAGTTTAATCGCAACCACGAAATTATAGTTGAGCAAATGTTGTTTAATTTTTCTATTCAAATTCATCCTTCAATTTACATAATCGGGAAAATCTCTACACATTTCTTGAAGCTCATAGCAAACTTCTCTTCTCTGCGAGTTATAAAAAATACTCGTACTTTTACGTCTAGAATCTTAATAAATTCCAAGACATTTTAGATAATTTAGGAAATTCAAATTACATTAAGTTAAAATAGATTTTCTGTGAGAAGGAATCTCCGTACAAAGCTTGACATTTTGTTTAGCAGGCTGTACCTGCTACAGAATCGTCAGCGCGTCTCTTGATACCGATCCTGTCTTCCTCTTCGCGCCAAATAGTCGCGAGCAAGGATATCAGACCTGTTTTCTTATTGGCGCCTCTCCAAGTGCAAAGACACGGTCCACAAAAAGTGCTATCGCATATATCAGTCAGTGCACCGAGATACAAACATCTCACGGGATAGTCCGCAATCTCGACAATGTCCAGCATAGAATACAGTCCACCGTTTCTCAAGAAAATTTGAAGACTCGCTGAACATCGCACCACACATTTCCAAATGTAAGCGCCTATCGCTAACAAAAAGCTGTCAAAAAAATAGTAAGAAACCTATAACATATCTACTTTTCACTTTAATATGTAAGTTCTTTTCAAATTCAAGTGTAAAGTTTTTAAATTTTAATATCCTTAATATTTACAATTATTGATAAATATTTTGTATAATTTATTAATAATAGCTTAATAAGTTAGCTAATTAATGTAGAAAGTTACAATGACGTAAAAGCAATATTTGCCACAGTTACCGCTGATCCACTTGGAAATCCTCGTCTTTTTTATGTAAACACTTTTCAAACATCTCTGAGATGAGCTCGATGCTTCGTTCTTCGCACAGCTGTTGAGCAGATGTCTGTTTTTTCACGAGGCCTTCCAGGGCAATCAGCAGCAATGTTAAAATTCGTTGTCTCCTCATCGTCAGCTTATCTAAACGCACGATATTGCTGATTAATTCTGAAATTCAAAGAAGAAAAGATATCTCATTAAGAATTCAAGAACCATTGTAAAGAGAAATAGTAACCATTTTTATATTTGACATAGCAGTATGAAGTATATTTTGTAATATCTCTTACTAATTAATAATTGTATCATTCCATGTTTCCCGAAATCCTCCAAAAGAAGAGCGTCGGCCTGCAAGATTATCGAGCACACGGTTCTCGTAAAAATCATCGCAAGGTGTTCGTCGAATTCCACATTCAAAATGTGCTCGAGCATCGTCAGTAATCTGTGAGTATTTAAAATCTATTTTATTTGATTTCGTATTGAAATCCGAGTAACTTTTTATCTCTCTTCTTTACGTGAGAGTGCCTCTGCGTTTCACGAATTCCGTCTCTATTCGTGGCGTTAACAGTGATAAGATATGCATCGCGTGTTCCAAGAGAATCAGCGATGCGGAAGACCCTTTATCCTTCTTATCGTTCATGCAGAATTTAATGATCCGGAGAATAATCGGCATAATCATCGCTTTCTTCATTATCTGAAAAATTAAAAAGTTCTCCGTTGATACATTTTTTTAAATTAAAAATGCGGTTTTTTGCTTAAGTAGACTTTGAGATTGAATCTTCAAACTTTGAAGAGTCATTATTGAAAAATAATAAGTTCAAAACAATTTTTATGCTTTTAAATTTCTCTTTCATTATACTATTAGATGTTTAAAATTTATGAATTAAAATTGACGAGGATAATTTACAAAGACGTAAACGTCGATATCGGCGAGATGAGCGATGATCATCAGTAGGGTTTTTTTGAAGAAGAGATCCTCATCGTTGTCGGAGAGCTTCACACTTTCCGTCCATATTTTGGTGATGCCGGATTCAATAGCAGGTAAAAGATCGACAATGTCCTTCGCGATGCCGCAGCTGACAAGATCCCACGAAGATAAAGCCACGATTCCAGCGAGGATCAATGCGGCAATGTCGTTTCTGATCCTCAAGTTGACGGCGCAATATTGACCGCGAAGTATCTGCCGCTTGAAGGAATACCTTAAGCCCCTGTACTGCGTCAGAAATCGTATTTTATGCTTGATAGCTCGTCCTTATTAAAGGGAGGCTACGTAATAAATACATGAATATTTCAAATAAATATAAAGAAATAATCCAAGTTGAAAAGACATTAGAGAAAAGTCCCCTATTACGAGATAGGCTTCTAATGTGAAATAGCGGGTTTTCACATCCAAATTCAGTCACAAATCTTTTTTTCGCAACGATTACGTAATTGTTATCAATAAATAATACCACATGGCGCATTGCTTGGGCGATGGGAGGTCTTTGAGGTGTTTTGGTAGTGTATTCGGAGGTAACACCGATCTCATAAGGCTCCACAAGAGTTTCATTATCAAGAGCATCGTGTCCCACGGATATTCCTCTCCCTCGAGGGGTACGTCCGGCGGTTTGGTGCAGTGTAGCTGCGTCGCGTAAGGGAGGTCCATCCTGCTGAACAGCGTGTTCAGTACACCGGCCTGCAGCATTCTGTAACCTTTATTCGGGAACGTACGAGAGCTATAGCCTGTGCATGTAAAATGAGTGATGCCAGAGGCATCTCTTCTCCCCGCGACTTAAACCGCCTTCGCTTTAACGTCCGAGCATCCATGCGCGTGTTGTTCGTTGGAATAATATTTGAATAAATTACACGCTTGATGTGTAAGCATTTAGTATGATCTGCTGAACTCTGCATTAAGAACTTCTTTTTAATAATAAACTTAAATTATGTCTTTGGAGAGATTTAAAAAATATATTTTTGCTCGAAACGTTTAAGAGAAATTTGATTTACACTGAGTTAAAATGATAATTTTTTTTTTACTTTCAACTACTCACAACACTGGTTCGAGATCGAAGCGAGCGTGGAGGCCAGTTCCAAGATCTTCGGGTACATCCTTGGCATAGCAGCCTCCAGCAATTCGACGATGATAATCGGCAACCTAGAATTCTCCATGGCACGACGACGGAAATCCAGTTTCACTGCCGCGACGTTCGTCGGTTTCGTTCGCCCGATTAATAAACAATCAAGTGCCTGGCGGATTCGTTGGACGTCTTCCTCATCGGGCAAAATCGTCAAAAGGTAACCCAGCAATGTAAAATAATGCTCCATTACGACGGAGCTAGCGAGGCTCTCGGAAGTGTGTTTCAGCAAAGGCGGTTGACTGCATAACTGCAACATCCTGTCCAGATGCACACGATAGTCGTTGGCCTCCCTGGTCTTCCAGGCTAGAAATTCTAGCACCTTCATTACGGCCGGCAGGTGTTTGACTGGCTGAAAGGTGTCTTTGAGGAAACACACTGGGAGAGACGATTAGGAAGCGTTGAATTTACTAATTTTTAAATGATGCTTTCTTAAAACTGACATTATTTGAGGCTTCAAAACTTTACTAATTAATCACATGTCAGCATTCGTACTTTTCGCTTATTTCCCGACAATTATTCTCGGGAAGAAATGTAGATCTTCTAATTTATGCGGATACAAGATATTATTATTTTAAAGCGAGTTCCAGTAATTCTTGATCAAAGAAATTTTATTTGGAACTTGTGCATAGAATGTCAAAGGATACATAACCGCCGTCGCCGATCTCACGCAGATAATCGGACAAGAGTCGCGATATTCGTGCGACATGGTCGCTCGTGACGGGATCCGATACGAGTTTTCGCAGCTTGTCTACGGTATAATCCGCATCTATTCGGCGACATTTTTCCTTTTCGTTCAAATATGACGCGGGACAATCGCAGATGACGTATTTCGGACAGGCGGACTCCTCGACGGTAAAACGACGATCCTGCGGTTTTCGCTCCATTCACGCTAAATTATTCACGGAAGATTATAGTAATTACATCTCGGCGATCTTGCTCGAACATTAATCGTCGATAATAAATTAACTTCGCGTCGCGAACCGACTGTGTCTTGTTCCGCTCGCTACGTACCGTGACGTGACCGATGTGTCGATTCCGGTTCTGCCGGGTGATGCGTTATCGGTAAATTAAGACGGCTCGAGTCTCAATGAGAAACGCTCCAAAAGAAAGATCCGCGCGCCGAACTGGTAACACGTGTTCGGCGATTAATGAAACCCGACGTCCGCATTAAAACTGCAATCGCATAAAAGCAGTCGTACGGATCGGATTTCTTTCGGGATTTAAAAGGGTTTTGACTGATAAGACATCAATATTATTAGATTCAGAGATAGTACACTGGTCGCGTGAAAAACGGAAAGTCTGGTTTATTGAATTATACGAAAAATACATGCGTTGTGCATAAATTTTGTTTGCACGAAAAAAGTGGCGTACACTGAGAAAACTGTCCGATTAAATATAATCGGATAATCCAATTACATAATAACAAACGGATATATCCAGTTAAATTGTATATCCGATGAAAAATATGATCGGTTATTCAATCAAATTTCATCGCTAACTGCATTTCGTCGGATGTATCCATAATTTAATCGGAAAAAATTAACCATCGAAAACATTATTTAATGGATTTATCCGATGAAAATTTTTCTCAGTGTAGGTAAGGGTAGCAGCAGATCATGACCCACGAACTGGCGCTCCCTGGGCGCTGAAGCGCCAACTTACGAGCAGATGGTACGGGTCTTTCCTTTCTCCTTTACGTTATGGGATTCGAACAAAATCCTCCTATGATTGCGCAATCCAACGTCGTTAAAATTAAAGTATACAAAACACCCTTGCAAATTGACACGCGTTCTTAGTTCCCTAAAAATGAGGTCGCGAAATTATCTCGACATCTCGCGAAAAACTTGACACGCGTGTCTAAAAAGTTTAACCGTAATCGGCAGGTGTCCTCACGCACACGCATACACGTGCAACTAATAGAACTCATTTGTGTAGGATGTTGCAAGAATTGCAGACACAAATTTTATCCTCAGGCCTGAGATATGAAATATGAAATAGCAATATTATTAAATATCGCTATATCTTTTATACTTCTCTAATTAATCGCACAGAGGAAAACACTCGGCCTTCGTCCTCTACGACTTGGACTCCGTTTTATTTCGCATCGCGGCGTGTCACTGATCACCGAGACTTGGGCAAATGCGTCAGATGCGCCGAGTAGACAGTCGGTCCCACAACGGTTACAGTCGCAATCGTTCACAGACACGCCATCGTACACACGCATGCACGCACGGACGCACTAACACACGAGTGAGTGAACGTGCTCGCAGGGCCGACCCTAAGCTGGAGTACAAACGACTGTAGACTCACGTGCGATATAAACGTGGAGGGTAAGGACGGGCTATTCGGTTGAAAAGAAAAATCGGATAAAACATTTTAACTTTTCGGTTTTTATTTCGAAAATTTTTAATTCACTCAAATAGCCAAATAACTAACCAAATTGCCAGTTCCCTTTAAATTAGGGGATTATTAAAAACTACTCGGGAGAAAAATCTCATTATATGTATCTCAATCATATAATGTCTAATCACACCCCATGTTAACCAGATCCAGTTAAAAAATGTTCAGATCTTCAGAGGTTTGACACTTTCCTTGAACGTTCGACGTTATCTATTGAGATCTAACTAAATATATAAATAACACCATTGAATATTCAATAAAAGTGTCAGATCTCTGAAGATTAATAATGATTGGACGCTAATTGGACGACAAAACTATTCGTAATTAGATCTTGCATTTAAGATCGTTTCGGATCTCAAGTTACTGCGATGATTTTCTTAATTAGATGAAAAACTAGACCCAAAGTGATAAGATCGGATCACAGATACCTGTCGTAATTATAAGATGTAATTATACAAAATTACATAGCGACTACATGATTGCGTAAATACATATATTCGCGAGTCGCGCGGAAGGTCAAAGATGTAAGTGAACCCCGGGAGGGGACTCGATAGGGCTTTAGACGAAGGGTTTCGAGATCCTCGCCTACATCACCATCCGCGCACAGGTGTGAGCGCGCGCGCGCACGCGCGCGCCGCGGCCGCTCGCGTGCGCGTGTGGAGAGAGTGGAGAGCCGGAGCTGGGGCGAGCGGCGACGAGAGGACGGCGCGGCACAGCACGGCAGTCGCGACGCTGACGTGAGGCGGTGTATCGCGCGGAGCGCGAGTTTCCCCTCGCTCGCGCGATTTTCGTCTCGTGCACGCGAGCGAAGGCGGTGCATCGCGCCTGATACGGGTGGCCCGCAGGTGATAACCGAGGACCCGGGATTGTGACATCGATTTCCGCGCGGAGATGTGACCGATCGTTGGACGACGGCGACCTTGGCAGGACGGTGAGTGACCTCTGCGACGCTCTTCTTCCTCCTCTTCTGCGCCGCCACGGAGCACACGCGTGTATGTGCGAAACCTCTTCTTCCTCCTCCTCCTCCTCCTCCTTCGCGGCCCGTTCCTCTCCCCTCGATTGCACGCACGATAGACGCTTTCCCACGGGAAAAGTGACCTTTTAATTGCCAGCGCCGGTTGCCGGTTAACGAACCGAGGCTCGTTAACATCCACGTCCTCTCGTTCCCGCGTGGTTTTTCCACCGACGGGAGAAACGCGCGCGCTGTCAATCGATGACACCCCGCGGTCGATCGGAATTGACTTGTAGAAGAGACGCTGTAATATACGAAAATAAAAAATACCGGAGATTTAACTGTCGTTTACAAAATATGACAAGTTTATCTAAAAAGCTTGAAAACTTTAAAACGTGGAAATTTGGAGATCTTTTAATATAAAATTTGGGTGATTGAGAGAGTCTAATGTTTTATTTGAAACTTCTTTTGATAGGGGAGAGAAGGAAAATTCGGTGTTTCTTTGTCTTGTCAATTTTATCTAATAAGTGCAAGCGTATCCTTACATTATGATTTCTTGACATGACACATGTATGTACGTGTAAAATGTATAAGTGTGTTGATATGTGCACAAATCGTGTAGGACATACACTAGGAATCGCTAGTGCCTTCCCGTATGAATTTAGGCACAGGTGGAGCACCATATACATTTTCCACGTATGTATATGCAAAATGTATAAATGTGTCGATACGTGCACAACTTTACGTGGGAAGACATCAGTGATTCATAGTGTACATATGTAATGTATAGTTAAAAATTAAATCACGAGGGTACAGAAGGGAAGAATTGGAGAAAAGGAAAATAATCAAAAAATTATTTTACCGTTTTCTAAATTCACTCTGACAAACATTTTTGAAAAAGAAACGCATCTTTCAAGATTTATTATCAAGTTTAAAACTAACGGAATTCAAGGGTAGAATACAGTAAGTCGATTAAAAAATCTTCTGGCTCAATGTTGTATTTAAAGCAATCATATTACTTGATTTCTGATGTCATTCTTCCGTGCGGCCGAATGCGAATAAAAATCTCCCCGTTAAACTCGAAAGAGAAAAAGGTTGTAAAAAAAGATCTCGCTCCGAGAAGAAACGCGCGGCGTCTCGGGGGAAATCCGATTCGGGAAGACCTAAAACGAGAGGCCTGTGCGCGAAAGCGTCGGGGAGAAAGCCTCCCCCGGTACGACACGCGTCGCGACGCGTGCGTTCCTCGGGCGAGCGAATCAATATTTGGAGGGTAGGCGTTTGCGTCCCGACGAACGGCGTCGAGGCCGACGGAACGTGAGTCACTCACCCCAGTCCGAGCAAGAGAGAACGAAGCAAAGCGAAAGGGGGCTGCTGACCTCTCTTTCGTCCCCTTTCTCTCCGTGTCCGACACGGCCCTCGCGCAGCAGCCCTTGTTACGAAAGTCTCGTCGTCTCTCGACGAGCTTAGACTTGGGTTGACACATTTTTATTTTTATTTCTTGCCGCTTTTAACTTCAACCTGCCGACTTCCAGATTCATTTTTAATGAAACTTTCTGCTATGGTAAAACACATTATAGCTATCACATTGCATATTAATTGTATTATATTTTTCGATTTTGATTATATGAGACTTGCTTCAACGAATTTTCAATTGCTGAACTCACGTTAGAGAAATACAACTTGGAAAGTCTGATGATATTACATGCTTGTGTATAAAAATACGTTATTAAATTAAGTGAAAGATTGTTTGGCAAATCAATAAAATTCATAAGGCTCTCAGGCGGTAAAGTAAAACACCAATTCGAAGGAATAAAGACTAAAGAGTCTTTATTAATGATACACTAAGGGTTGACGTTTCCGAACGCAGCCCTGGGCGGGCGTCTCACCAATTCGACCGCCGAGTGGAAATATTCATGGCGATAAACGGTCCAATGTCGATTCCCGAGTGCCGAGTAAGTTTTCTTATATACATAAAATACGAAAATTGAATTGAGACTTCGGCGTATCTTAGTATCCGACAGTTGGGATAAATTCAC